CTGTGGAGAGCATTTAGCAAGTGATCCAAATCCAACTACAAGAGAGCGTATTCCATGTCCATATGATAAATCTCAGTATCTTAAAAATATAAACTTTGTAAATCAATCTACAGTCATTAAGTCTACGTAATCTCGATTCAAAGGCTAGGTTGATCGTCACTAAATAGCTTAACTTGGAGGCTAGGAGCTTGTATTACCGTACAAATAAGTAAAATCGTTCGATATAATTATCAATAACGTCAATAAGTTAAAAGGTCACAAAGACCATGTGACTTTTTATAATGGGCGTTATTGTAATAATCATCAATCAGATAAATTTCAGTTTAAATAAACGATAAATTGTACATGAAATAAATTTCAACATTTAATTCCCCCTTTATTTTTATTATTAAAAAAAAAAAAATGACCAAAGGAATACTTGCTATTCATATTGGTAAGATTTTTTTGAATTTATATCATTTTCTCTACTATTAATATTAATTTTTCGTCTCATCGTATTTATATGGTCAGTTGAGGGTAGAGATTTAAAGAAAACTGATGAATTTGGTAATTAAAGTTTATTGAGTTTATTGAAAAGTTTTGTTTTTTTTTTTAATGTCAACAAAACAAATTGATTATTATAATAAAATTATATAGGTCATGGTACGTCAGTTGTATTGAACAAGAAATTCCGAGTCCGCATATATTAGACAGCTTATAAATATTTGCATAATAGGTGACCCCTATGTGGAAGTTTGGTTAGATAAGACTGCTCATAAATTCAAGACTGAAGCGAGAAGAGATACTTCTACACCTGTTTGGGATAAGAAATATCATTAGTCAGTTTTGACTCTTTATATCACGCTTTATCACGTGACAAGTCAGCTAATTTAAATTTATTTACATAGCAACGTCACTAATCAATCAGAACTCCATGTTAGAGTCTTGGATGAGGATATTTTGACAGATGATGTGGTATGTAAACATTAACTGAGTAAACATTCCTTGATTTTACATATTAATAATCAACTCATTTCTTTATTCATTCAGATCGGAACAAGCACAGTGGATATCTCTACTGTCTACAGAGATTATTACAAAGATATGTGGGTTGATTTGCCTGACATTGATGGCAAACACAGAGATGGCCAAATTCACTTAATTTTAGAATACTTTCCTAATAAATAACGTCTTCAAGATTTGTTAATTTTATTTATTTTTAAAGACTACACCTTTTTGTTTATTTATTAGTATGATTAACATTTATAACATAATAAAAAAGGTCTAGCAAATTACCATTGTTTATTGAACTTTATATATGTTCAAGTTTGCATATCTAACTTGTTAGTTTCATAAAGGTGTAATTGATTATCTTCTCCACCACTTAAAATTATATCAATATTCCAATCAATACAAAATAATTTTTTGGCTGAAAAATTTGTTTCTTGTGAATTTGAATTTTGTTGAATTGTATATAAAGGTGACTTGCTACGAATATCCCAGATCTTCACTGAACCATCATAAGACCCACTGGCAAGCATAAACTGGGATTTTGATGACCAAGATACACATGATGCCCAGTTTTTATGCGAAGAAAGCATCAATTTGACCACTGTCGCATCTAGTAATATAATAAATCAAGGTGTTAAAACAACAATAATAATAATAATAATAATAATAATAAATAATGCAACAATTTTTACCTTCTGCTCGTGGATCCCATATTCGGACTATTTTATCAGAATGTCCGGATGCAATTAAATTGTCTGAACAGGCGATATCCAGAACAGTTTTGTCACAAATCTGATGATCACATGATCATAAAATCAATTAGAAATAATTAAATATATACATCGATTTATGAATTTGACAAACCTTAGTATCAACATTTGTTCTTGTTTCAACATCCCAAACTCGTACCGAATGATCCCAACCTCCACTATACAGTTTATTTGAATCTTTTTTGTCAAATTCCACGGAGGATATTGGACCTATGTGACCTCGCATAATCGCGATTGGAGCCTAATTACCATGAGTTCAATACAAATAAATAAATAAATAAATAAATGAATGACAAAAATAAGATTTATTATATCATGCCTTTGCTAAAATCTCTTTGTTTAATTTTCTTCTTTTCGGTTTTTTCTCAATTTCTTCATTTGTTTCCGGTTGAGTGGTAGTCCATAATAAAATTGAGGAATCCAAAGACGCACTTGCAAACTAGAAATTTTATTAATTAAATCAAAATTTTTTTTTTTAGTCATAATTAATCTGATTTGGCATTTCAATGCCATTGTGAAAAATCAAGGTACTTTACCTCACCTCAGTGCAAGAAGAATTAATAGAAATACATTCTACACTTTCTTTATGTCCTTTACAATCATACAATGGGGTATATTGCCCATTTGTAAGTGAGACCTATAATATAAAATCGAAAAGTTCCACCTACATTTAAGGTATTAAACATAAAATAATAATAATAATAATATAAAATTAAAAGAACAAACCTGCCAAGCTCGAATGGAACGATCCTGTGATGCAGATAAACAGATAACATCTTCATCTATACAAATTTAAAAGGATTCAAAGATTAATCAAAGATTAATAATTAAAATAATTTGCAATCTCTTATTACCTGTGACAGAAACCCACGCTACACTCTTAATTGGTGCTATATGCCCAATCAAAGTCTGCAAGCATTCACCGGAAGTATTGAATATACGAACGTGATTATCATATGAACCAGTCAAGAAAAAACTATTGGACAAGGTTTGTCAGATAAAATCATAATTTATCGAATCATATATATATATATAAATATATATATAAATATATATATAATATATAATACCTTTTATTATAACCTTTAACAGAACTTATCCAATCATCATGTTGAAAGGTTGCTAATGAAGTTGGAGGAAGCATTGACTCGACATATTTAATGGTAAGAATATTTTCCTTTATTATAAAGAATTTAATACATTTATTCTATTAAATATCATTATTATTTAATAATAAATTGAAGCATACTGTTGATAATTCTTTTGACTGTAAATATTCATCTAAACTTGTTCTCAAAAACTGACTATCTATCATAAAATCGAAAGGGACTGGCTTCTCTATTTGCAAAATGTATATAATAATTATTAGAATTTTTTTCAATTTTTCAATGACAATTTTTTTCAATTTTTTCACTTTGAAAGTTTTACGGACCAAAGCCTAAAAGATGATTGATTATTTCGGATAGACCATAACGACGTAATTTTGTTGGAACAAGTATAGCAGAATCCGTAATAGCATATTCTTTTTGATGTGTAATGAAACGAACTTGAATTTGATTTTCTTCCTCTTGTACAGTATTCATTATTTAAAGATCAAATTAAAGATTGATCGAAAAAAAAAATTTCGCACCTTTTATATATGAAAATTGATATGATGATCATATCATGTGAAAAATTTATTTTTATTGTATGAAAAAAGTTTGTATTATCGTTATATACATAAAAAATTACAATTTAAAAAAAATTAAATTAAGGAGGTACTTTTTTAGATTAATAATATTTAATCTAAAGTAACTAAACTAAGATATATATACTTTTAATAACAAAATTTATTACGTACGTATACGTAAACTTTTGTTATTTTCTTTATAAGGAATATTTAAAGTTTAATCACTATTAGTGTTTACGATTAATTTCCTTTTCTGCGCAGCAACAAATGCAGCTTTCATTTTGAAGTAATCTTTATGTAGACCACACTCAGTTTTAGTTTTTCCTTCCCATCTTCCATCACGTTCATTAGATGATGACTCATTAATTGGTTTTGTGCTATGCCAGTCACCAATTGAACGATAACCTTTGTCGAGTAATGGATTATATGGGACCTACAAATCAAAATAGGCAAAAAAAAAAAAAATAGGTTAATAATTTGATAATGATATAATCAAGAGATTTTCATTTTTTGTTTTTTTATATTCACCTCGTTTGCACGAACATATGCTTTTACAGTTGGGAAGTCCCATAAAGCTAGAGGGTTCAATTTTATTAAGCCAGTTCCACTTTCTATTTCCAAGATTCTGATATTTTCACGTTCACCTTTTTGACTTCGACGACGACCAGTAATAATTGCTGAAACACCTAATTCTTTATAAGCTCTCCTTGATGGTTCAACTTTAACCAAATAATCATAGGAAGCATCATCAGTTTCCCATAGTTTTTTGCCATAAAGTTGGTCGAAATCTTGAACAGTTTCGCAACCTGATGGTTTATAAACATGTAACGGAGCTCGATAATGAGAAGTAGCACGACTAGTCAATTCTAGAGTCTCCTTAAAATGATGTAAAGTATCAACAAAGATAAGAGGAACCAAGTGTTGTGGAGACGTTCCACATTCTTCAGCATATTCATAACTGATTTTAGAAATCATATCAAGGATGATAAGGCCTATTATTTTTAAAAGAGGTAAGAAATAAAGATTAAATTTAATTTTTGAAAAAATAGTTATTAAATATATATTATATATTGAATATATTATTTACCTGTGAGACCAAAGGCCGTTGTTTGATATAATCCAGGTAAAGAGACTATAGCCCACTCGAGAATTTTTTTTGGAGGTAGTTTAGACAATTTCTCATTTAGATGACTTAAATGTTTTTCATTGAATAAAGTTGGAAGTTTTTCATCGAATTCGTCATTAGGACCCATTGTGATGGTATGATAAATTTTTTCTGTTTATAAATTTCTAAAGTTTTAAAAAATTTTTCTTTTCTTAAACGAAATTAGGTTTTTTGTTTTTAATTTTTATTTTTTTAATTTTTTTTTTTGAATTCTTCGATGTGGCTATTATATATTAATCCAACATCAATTCGCAATTAATTCGCAATTTTCGCGTCATTTCCGCGGCCAACCAATAAAAATCTCGATAGATTGCGTCAATCTCGAGGAAATTTTGTTAACTCGAGCTACCGAAAGACTTTCAAATTAATTTGACAAATTTGGACGTTTGGGTAACAAACCTTCACATTATATTGTATTATTAATCCTACATGGCGTAAACAATATCATAAACAAAAAAAAAAAAGAAAAAGAGATCACCGACTATATTTAGATATCTGCGTAAAATTTAATAAAATATCCAATGGGTTTATTTCTTCATAGTATATTTAATATAAATTAAATGGGGATGAAACAATTTATTAGAATGATTATTTTCCACACTTTTTAAGACTAATTTTATTATTCTAAAGCTTTCTGTGCCAACCTAATCGGATGTACCCGCAAACAGGTTACAAATTAGAAATCAGGTTGATCTAAGCTGGTTTTCAGATGTCGTTACATCGCATTTCTTGCTTAGTATGAAATTGATGAGAGATAGGATTAATTAATTCCGTTCTTCGTAAATCTATTTAATAGTGTAAACCATATAAAATAGACATATTAGTGGCTCCCTCCACGTGAAGCTGTTCTATTGTTCAAGTGCGTCCATGTTGATATCAATCAATATTTGCTTATTTTTATTAATACATTGTTATATAAACTGGCATGTAATATTTAAAATGGAATCAATGATTCCACTTAAAGATGCCCCATATAAGTCTCGAAAAAGGAAAGAAAGATTGTTAGAATGATAAAATTTAAACATGAGTGTAATTATTAAGATCGATATTTTCACGTGATTTGGTATTTGAAATTCCGAATTTTTTTCGCGTGTAGTACGTACAGTACGTACGTATAATTGTAGTTGTACACTGTGTATAGTTGTATAGTGTATATGGCATACGATACGTAATACATATAATACACGTAGCATTTATAAATCATTTATATGCAACATTGTGCAAGGAACAATTTTTGTTAGAATGCGAAGGACAGTTTCATAATCAAAATTTTATATAAGGATACTTTCATGGTTTGTTCCAGAATATTCTAAATTTTTTTTTGTGCACTATACTATACACGGTGCATCACTAGGTATACGTATCACGCAACAGCGATTCGCATACAAGCATGAGATTAGATAAGATGATACACGTGTTGCATTTTTCTTTATCGTTATCATTATATCTCGATATTACTTAATTAATAGCCATTTAGTAATCATATAATATCAGGTTTGTAGTAAAATAATAATTATTTATTAACAATGAACTATTTATTTATGTAAATATCAACTGTCTTGCATTATTCATTCTGTTTCTTTCGAGGTATGGGCAGTTTACTTCGGTTTACGTGTACAGTTTACTTCGGTTTACATGTAAGTAGCGATAAATACCATTTTTTATATCTATGCATCGCTATGTATCATCTCAACTTGCTAACCCCTAAATAAGGATAAATTTCTAAACTAAATGGTCACGGAGTCACAATAGTCATGGTAATCACGGTGAAAAGTTTATAGTCAAATTTTCGAACCAATCAAAAAATATAAAGATTGCGTAAATATGCATTATAATGTAGTGACTTTTTGTGCACTTGTATTGCATATACGTATGGTTATGGCATCATAATTCCCTCCAAATTAAAACCCGGGTAAATTTCGATACCGTTTTTCAAAAAATTCTCACTTACACCAGGTATAAATTAGGATACAATTAGGATACTTATGTCCAATAAAAATACCGTATACTTCCGAAATTAAGCAACTATTTTTTGTTATAACGATAAGTGTGCTTATTTTCGGACATAATATGATTAACATAAATCGGTTAAAAGCCGGCTTTTATTCTAGTAACTATTTAAAGGGGTGCTTAATTTCGGAAGTATACGGTATTTATTCCCCGGGACGGCAATATTTCCCCTATGGCATATGCAGGGCTCATAAGTGCGTCGCTGGGGCACAGTACATGACGGGAACTCGTGTTACACATTCCCTTTACACTAAATTTTTTGGGGAAATAACAAAGTTCAGGTTGATACGTAACAGGTTGATAACAAATAAGCCTAAGGAAATAACAAATAAGAAAAAAATTTTGTGATTAACAACCGTAAATCCCCGTCATGCGATCATAATGATATGGGTATCGAATCCAAGTAAATAAATTATCAATTCCATTCAGATGACAGAATTTCATAGCATATAGTATTTAAAAAAATATTGTGGAATAAAGATTTCCGGTTATCCCACCACTATATCGGTGTCGATATATATATTTATAAAAATATACATTCGAAAACAACCTTTATTGTTCATTCGAACCAGATATCAATAAAATATTTCGATTTCTTTTACGACAAAAGAAAATTAATAAGCAGATAGCTAAAACAAATAAAAATGCTAAAACTACTGTCGATGCTATTAATGCTATATTGGTGTCAGGGTTAGTGTTATTGTTAGTATAAGTAGAATTTATTGTCGGTACAGGTTCATCAATTTTATATTCGCTAATCCATTTATAATCAAATTTGTCGCTTGTATCTAAAATATATACTTCATTCATTGTCGATGATGGTAAATAAAGATCGTTTCTTCCAAAAAGTACAATCATATAATGATTAACCAAAGTAGCAGAATGATAACAACGTGAAGGAGGTGAAAGAGTAGAAACATTCGCTTTTGACCAAGTAAAAACAGTTCCTCCAGTATCTAACACCACAAGATCATCTAAAACTGGAACCAATGTAATTCGATCAATATAACCTCCATATACAATAATACGACCATCTTTTGCTATATATATAGATATATAAAAAAAACAAAAGGTTATTTGTAAAAAAACAAATTATATTATCTGTTATAATTATAACAAGATTTCTTTAATTACTTAGAACAGAAGAATGATGCCCTCGAGGTGTTGGCAGATAACCCGTAGTAGTCTAATATATGTAAATACCGTTACGGCATTAATTAATTAAATCTCATAACAACTTAAGTTTTTCGATAACTAAACTTACCATCGAATACCATGTGTCATCATTGATATTATATAAAGGTATCTAAATTTTATTTAAAAAGAAAACGAGATCAATGATAATTACAAACACTATTATTTATTTCAATTCTTACCGTTAACAACTTTACCACACCAGAAGAGTCTACACCGCCTATATAAACAATATTACCATTTGATAATAAAGTGACAGTGTAATCATATCTTCCTGATGGTGCTCCAATTATACTACCAACTCCCCATGTTAATGTTTTTGTATCTAAAATGTTCATGGTAGGATTTACTGTATTTGAAGATCCGGAAAACATATACATTTTTCCTGTTCTAAAATCACAAGCAGAACGTGTAGCTTTATTTGGAGGCTGGCTAGAGGTTACTGGATTGCTCCATTGTAATGTTTTTAAATTGTATGTGAAAACTAAGTTTATAGGAGTAGTACTACCAAAATCTCCTCCAAACATTACCAATGTACTATTATCAGATCCGCAAAGCGAAAATGCATTCCAAGAATGTGGTGGAATAATTGATGATGAACTAAGATCTACCCAAGGTATTATTCCATTTATTTTGAACCCGGTTGATACATCTAGATAATAAAATTCTTTGGATTGTGTGGCCATTTGATTTGGTGTGTTAGAAAAGTCTATAATGCTCTTCCAAATTGTTGCATTTGGAATTACACCACCTGTATAATATATTCTAGAGCCAGCAAGTGCATTGATATGCCCCCAGACTGTATTATTAGGCGTAAATGCTAAAATTAACTTTAGAAATTCATTGAATATATATAGATATAATAGCCGCATTTTGTTTAAACTTCGCATTCCTTGCTTTTTAAAAGCACAGACAGTTAAACTTTTTGCGTGATACTAGAAGTTTTAAATAATTCACAAAGTTTCACATGATAACCAAATTAATTATTCATTATATACATCAAGACTCAATGAAAAAAATAATACAAAGAACTTTCTAATATTGTAACATTTTGAAATGCTTTTCAGTAATTGGCTGTGTTTTTATTCCTATGATTTAAATGACCCATTATGATATATGTCTTTCGGTTGGAATAACTTGCACTACCTGAATGTGTGGCGTAGCCAATATTCTTTAAAGCTCGTTTATATTAGGGTTAGGTTCTGAGTTAAGAATTAGAGAGTAGCTTATACATTAAAATTGCCCAACGAAAACTTTTTGTTATGCAGATTTTTGGTAATAAGCGATGTTTGACAAAACGAACGTGAATTTTTTGATCGTGTCGTAGTTCAGGAAATCTGCGCCACAAACCTGGTACGCATTCAAACAGCGTTACATGTAAGTTATGTGACGGTTAACACAATTAGTACCCTAGCCGTGCCGAAAACGAAGTGTCTGGTCATGTGACTTCCGAAGCATCCGGTCTGACATCTAAAAATCAAAACAATTGAGGACAACATATAAATAAAAGAAAAAAAAACATATATTTTAGGGTTAGGAAATCATACTGTATAGTAAATTTTACAACTACACACCACTTAATCTTTACAACTTTACATTGACAATATCAATTAAACTAGACTATAGTGAGTGCTTAATACATTTATCAAATGAACCAGAACCTTTATCTGATCACTTCATCCTACATCAATCTGGTTATGGATTTTATCCATCAATACCTATCTCTTCAAAATATTCTTTAATATTTAATAACACACAATATACCAAACCTGTTCTTGAAGATAATGTTTTAAATTATACTTATACACAACTAGTAAAAACTGTTCTATCTGGTCATAATAATACTGTTATTACCAATAAACATTTTGGTTCTATACAATTTTATACACATTATAACAAATTTCTAGCCTATAATCATTTTCTATTATTCTTATATCTACAAACAATTATCTCTTTTTTATAACATATTTATAGTTTTGATTACTTATCAAACAATGCTTATAGATATACTTTAATTATTTCTATTAAAAATGATTACAGTGAAGCCTATGTTTACCTTCTATCTGAATCTAAATTTCTATCTAATTATTTTATTCCACCATTTCAAACTATTTGGTATTATTCAAACATTCTACTAAAATCAAATATAACAGAAAATGATTCTCTCAATTAATAAACCCATATTCAATAATATTTATATCAAATTCACTGTCTTTTATATCTTTAATACTATTACAATAATCTTTATCTATTTCTACCTCTGTATTACCATCTTTAACATTGCTATTACTTTCAACACAAATCCTTATAACTATACAAAACTTGTATGACTTTCATTTAAATATTGCTATATATAATATTAAAGAATTTAACACAACTACTAAAAAAGAAGCTTGGCAAAATTATTGTCTTTATAATAATATTGATATTGTTTATATTACTGAAATAAAAATTATCAACACTACTAACCTTTATTTTTGCAATAATAATCAGTTTATATATTTTTAAATAAATTATGAAAATTCTACTAAAGGTACTACTATTATAATTTACAATCACCTTCAATCATATATACATAACTATCAAATACATCTTGAAAGAACAGTAGTTTTAGATTTTTTCTTCAAAAATGAAATTAAACTTCATATTATAGCAGTTTATCTCTCTTTTATTGATATACATCAACATAATAAAATACAAAAAACAGTCATTTCATGGATCCAACAAGTCTACTAACTAAACTTTTATCTAATCGTTCTTGATAACTTCAATATACATAATGATATTTGTAACTCATTATCAAAATTTTGAGTTACTAACTATTTTCATCAAACCAATATGTATAATCTTGGTGTACATGTTGATAATAAACACTACATATAATCAAATAATACTAGTCAAAATCAAATTGACTACATATGAACTGATTCATTTAATATACAGTTCTTTCTTTCTTATAATCTTGATGATAGCAACAACTCTACACTAAATAATTACTTTATCCTTCTTTCTTCATAGTCTTTTACTAATATATTTAGTAAACCTCCATGCTATCACACTGGAATTAATTATAGAATTTTTAATTACAATATCATATTACCAAAAAAATAAACAGAATTTTCTGATTTACTCTTTTAAAAACTTAACTCACATAACACTTTACTTGATTGCAATACCAATGAAAGTCTAGAAACTACCTGGCATAAAATTAAATATTTAATTATTTATATTACTATACACTCAATTTCAAACAAAAAATCTTGTAAATATAGTTATAATCACAAGTATTTACCTCATAGTATCATACTTTACCTATTATTTAAAGAACTTGAACATCTAATTAAAATTGTTAAAGATCCAAATAATAATTTAAATATTAACATAATTAATTCTAAAATTAAAAATATAAATACAAGATCTAATTGTGATCTCCAAATCTTGTCTTCTAACCAATAGCCAGAACTCAAACAATGAACTCAGCATACTTAAGATATTTGGAAACAGTTTTATCATATATATTATCTTGAAAACTCCTTGCTACTTTGACAACAAATTCAACAAGCTACTAAAAAAGATGTAAAACACTTTCTATATACCCCAAACAAGCTTTAAACAGCATCCTCAATTGTTATAAATTTTCTATTCACTTCTCAAATATTAAATTTCTTAACTAACTTGTTACAGAGCTATATCTTATCAAGCAATATATATAATCCTACTTTCTTAACTAGACAGCCTATCGACCAATTGACCAAAACCTATTTAATAATTTTTGGTCTACACAATACCAATCATAACTACATATTGATACTCAATGATATAACTTTCTTATCACTCTTATTACAAAAAAAGAAATATCCCAAACTATAACAAAACTTTTTAATAAAAAAGTCTATGGTCCTACAGATATCAGTTATGAAATACTTAAAAATGCAGATGTTATTTGCATTAAAGCTATAACTGCTCTATTTAATTACTGTCTCAACTCAGGTCAAACTTCAAAACAATAGAAACATAGCAGAATATACTCTATTCCAAAGCACAATACATTTGATAGAGATCTTAATCTTACTCATCCTATAAGCCTAATTGAATATACTTGTAAAGTCTATATAAAGATTATTATAAACAAAATTAGTACAATATTCTCACAACATCCAATTCTCTTATCATACAATTATAGTATATATGAAAACCAAGTAAAATATATGTTTAACAACAAATTTCATCTACACCAACTATTATTACTGTTAACTTAGACTATATATTACTAACATCCATAGATAGACAATATACTTTATAGCTTAATAGATTAATATATTTAAACCAAACATCCTCTCTCACTAAACCCATAGACTAGAAATCTCTTAACTATTCTAGCTAAGAATAGGTTGAGGATAAATTAGCTCTAACCTCTACTTCTTTAGTTTAATATATCAATTTGTACTAGTTATACTTAATTATATATTACCAAAATAAAGAACTAGAAGAAAGACCTCTCTTAAAAAAAAAAAAAAAAAAAGACAAATAAAAAAGAACATAAATAAATGATATAAAATAATTAAAACAAATTAAGAAAAAATAATAACTAGTCTTTTAAACAAATCTTATAAAAAGATAATACTTAACAGATTTATTAAACAAGAAGAAAAAATGACAAACCTAATAGTAAAACCAGATTTAGTTAAGACTAATATAGCAAAACATTACAAAAAACAATTTAGAAAAAAAAACATGAAACTAGAAAAAATATTAAAAAGATAGAAAAAAGTTTATAAGACACAAACATATTAAAGAGAAATGATATATAAAAGTAAAAGTAAAAATAAAAGAAAAGAAATAGGAAGAAGTGTTAAAAGAACATAAAACATAAATAGCTTCAGGCTATCTGATATAAGTTATATACTAATTAAATAAAAGAAAAAAAAATACAAAAAATTTTTAAAGCCTTAGCTAATCTTTGTTTGAAAGCAAAAAAAATATCAACTAAGTAAAAATTGTACAAGTTTATCTAATACCAAAGAATATAAAGTAGGTGTATAGTTTAAATAATATTTTTTTAATAATACTAATTGAAATATTTAAAAAAAGTGATAACAAAGGTAATAACAAAAAGGCTTGCCAAAGTGTTTATAAAAAAAAAATGCTTAAGAGACCAAATTATGCAGGCCTATTAGAAAATTCAATAGACCAACTAGTATATATCTTAAATATAATAATAGAAGAGATAAAAGAAAAGAACAAAGAAATATAAATACTTCTGCAAGATATAAAAAAACATTTAACTTAGTTCTACTCAAAAGTTTTAAATTAGTATTACAAAAAGTCAAAATATCTAGAAAAATAATAAAATATATCTTAAATCTTTTTTATAAAAAATAATTAAAAATAATTACAGTTTAATAAAAGGAATAACAGTAAGGTATAAAATAGACCAAAATAAAGTAATATTACTATTAATATAGTGTTTCTTTTATGATCTATTATTAAAAAAAGTATAAGAAGATAAAAGTTTAGATATATAGTTAAACAACAAATTAAAGAAGAAATCTAGTGCAATAATATTACAAGATACTACCAAGCAGCAATCATATATGTAGATAATACAGCATGGATTACAAATAGCAAAAGCCAGCTATTAGAGATTCTAGAAATAGCTAAGAAGTTTTTTAAGATGAATGATATAGAAATAAATAAATTAAAATTAAAACTTGTAATTTTCAATGTAAGATGAGCTCCTAGTAGCATGCTGTATCCTAATATACTTGAATAAAAATGTTGCATCTCTAAGATAGGGACTTTAACTATAAAAAAAAAAAAAAAATTTAAAACCGCTAGTAATAAATACAAATGTCAAGAAAAAAAAAAAGTA